TTTAAAATCTTAACAGCTTTAAAAAATAGCCGTTTTCGTGAATTACACGGGAGAAACTGTAAATCAACGGCTTCTTATGGCCACCGATTATTTTATGGCATAAAGAACGCACGGTAATTTTCAGCATAATTATTTTTCTTTATTTTTACACCTTATTATTTGACCAAATAAACTATACGGATTCCGAAAAAGTATGTTTTCAATAAGAAGATTTTTGTTTTGAGATGTATCAGGAATATGTGTAAAATTTCTAACTTAAAATGTTTCACATTACATGTCAACACACTACGGTGTTTTATTTAGTAAGTCTCGGGCGAAGCCGAGACGGGGGGCTGCTAGTAAACATATAAATGTATTTATTATCAATAAATGAAGTTTATTGCTTTTATTTCGTTCTCATTGTATTGTAGGCTTAAACTTACAAACGCGCTTCAGTCGTGGCTATATAAACGTGAATCTTTTTTAAAATGAAAAAATCAATCATCGCTTTTGTACATATTCAGCATCATCAGCATTATTTTAATTTCGCATTCACGTGTTGAGCATGAGCTGATTGACGGCGGACATTTTATACTTGCTGATCGTATACACAATCGCCGAATTCATGAAATTCTTAATAAATTTGCCTGATTGATTATAATCTATTTTTGATATCATTAAACATTTCACGATCTCTTCTTCTAGTATCCAAAGTTCTGTAATGAGAGTTAAGGTATATTTGGAGAGATATATCATACGTCGGGGTTCAGGGCCCTTTCGTAAGAGCCCACATCACACAAAAATATTTAAGTGACTTGTTATGAAAAAATTACCTACTTAGGTGATCGAAAATTTCGTATCTTTCTGAATTTCGTTCATAGTTAAGGTGATTCAAATTGGTGATAAGCCATCTTGTAAACGGAGTCACACTAGTAAATCAACCTAAGACTCCAGAAAAAAAATACTGACAAGACAAAATTATAACTTTAATTTTATGGATAAAACCCCTGACATATGTCTATAAAAGTCCTGACTAATAATAATACACACCGAGCATATACATGACGATTAGACGTCAGTTGTGACGGTCAGTGTTGCTCAAGTAAAAAACAATAATAGGTATCTCATCAATTTTTTAAATCAAATACATAAACTGTAATCTTATGTTAATTATCAGAAATAAGTCCACTAGTATTACCAGACTAGGTTAGATATCAGTTGTATTTATTGAATACTAGCAGCCCCCCGTCTCGGCTTCGCCCGAGACTTACTAAATAAAACACCGTAGTGTGTTGACATGTAATGTAAAACATTTTCAGTTAGAAATTTTACACATATTCCTGATACATCTCAGAACAAAAATCTTCTTATTAAAAACATCTTTTTTCAGAATCCATGTTACACGAGTACGATCCTTTTCAAAATGTGTACTACAATCGACCGTATCTAACAAATGAGTCATTGTTTACTGAAAAGTTCAAAAGCTTATGTAACTATTCTTTAACTATTGTTGTTGGGGAACCAGAGTGGCATCTTACAGAATGGCAGGATCATGATCAACTTTGGGTTCAATACATTACCGAGGGTTTTAAGGGCATTCCTAAAATTATCAATGAGTCAAAATCATCGACTCGCAATTGTATGTTACTAGCATCAAATAAGGCTGATTTTTTCTTACAAACAAAATTAGTTATAGATTTGCAGAAAAACTGTGGGAGAGTGACTCACTCAATTAATCTAAGTCTGCTTCGTACTATTCTGGTCAAACACCGTAGGTTTAATAAGAATTTGGTTCCTCATGGTTTGTTGGTATTAACTATTGTAACTTTATTCTACGTTGCAGTTACTTTTTTTCTTAAAAAAATTTTATTGTCTTCAAATCAAGTGATACACGAAATTATTCAAACGCAAGTGATTCTACATAAGAAAAAACAAACCTTACGGTGTTTGAGATCTGTTTCCTTGTTTNCTAAAAAAGACCGGTGAGCTTTTTAAGTTAACTCTTTCTTGACTGCAGTTAACAGCAATTGTGACTGCCTGGATACCTCAGGGTGATCTTCCCTGACCTGCCGTTGAAGACCCAGACTGATCGGGAGAAAAATTACAAAGTCCGAAGCTTTGGAGCTCGTTGTTAGAGGTATTTTTCAACGTCTCCTGGTGTAACTTCGGAGACATTGGTGTCTACAGCACCTTTTTTTTTGCAGTTGTCTTGGTGATCTAAGATGGGGAGATTGGTTCGTGATGCTTGCCCGGTGGAGACTGTCCCGTTGGCTCAAGTTTTTTTTCTCTTCATAGCTGTTAGGTTCTCCCAGCACAGACCTTGGAGAGGATCGGTGATTTCTGGTTTCTCACCCAGCCTTGCGACGAACAACTCCGCTCTTGACGTCTGGCAGTAAATGACTGACTTGGTTTAATAGTGGCCGTCTTTAGTTAACATAGTCTTTTAGTCGACGAATCGCTCCAGGAAATGGTAGTAAAAATGTGTTTGTTGGCAAGGTATTTTCAACTTAGGTGGCCCTTAAAAGAATCGATGGGATTGATGGTTAAGTAGGGAACGTAAATACTTATAGTGGCCCTAAAAAGGGCCAGTGGTGAAACCTACAGCTATTCCTTATTATTATTCCTGATGATGAATAGATGGCTGCGGATAGCTTGACTCTTATCCTTGAAGTCTCTTTGTAAGCCGCTGACCAAAGAATATCTCGTCTTCGGGTCATTTCCCAGATAACCAACCGCTTATCGTTAGTCGAGAAAATGTGGGTATGCCGTTAGGGACACGACTACTGAGAAGGAAGCCGTTGTGGCTGCCCATGTCGCTCAGAGTTATTTTTCCTAGCTTACATTTAGCGTTATTGGTTAGAATAATTTTTTATTGTCGTCAATCCTGGAGATTCAGGGTGGATGTAGACTTAGGTCTCTTGCCCATAAGAGAAGAGTGTCGTTGGTAACCGGGATACCCAGCTGCACGACTATCATGTCCATTCTCGATGCATACTTTGCTTGATACATTAGTAAAATAAGATAACAATATAAGAGGGGTAGTTGCTTATAAAACTGAAAGAACTTTCGTACAAACAGTTAATACTCGGAACTTGGCTAAAGATTTAGCCAAAGTTTTACAGATAATTTTTTATTTTGTTTCACAATTATGCTACTTAAGAACGTAAATTTTCTGTTACGAACAAATGCGTGTGCGACAATCATACAGAAAAGTCAATTATTGCTTAAAACATGTTTGGTACGGTGTTCACGAGTTTGTTGGTATTTAAAATGTTGTAGTTACTAAAGAAACGATTGATGCAGTAAGAAATTAAAAAATTTTATGTGAAAAAGCTCTGAATAAATAAGACTAGTCAATTAATCCAATTTAAAATAAAAAAATTATAAAAAATGGAAAAATAAAATAAAAGTGGCCAATTTTTACAGTGGCCAAGAATTGGGACATTCGACCAACTCAAATACTCAATAAAAACATTATTTCTGTGTTTGCAAAAAATTATTTATCCTGAGTACAGCTTAGGATAGTGTCAAAACTATCCAATAATACACATTAAGACTTGATATTTTCCTTTTTTTTTTTTTTATGAAGTTCTTTATAAATTGGCCTACTAAGGTAGTCAAGCATTGGTACACTTACTTCACGTTAGAATTCACAATTAGACTGTACCAGGTTTAAGAGGAAGTACACTACGTTTTGGGAAAATTCAGAGTCAGTAAAAAAAAGTCAGTCTTTTGGTTTTTAACGTATAAGAGTCTTTGAGCACCATTGATTCAATGAATGATACAATTTATCGTGATATAAGTAGGCTGTCTAATAATAATTACTTGGTAACATCGATAATCTGGTCAAATACAAGAAAACAAAAATACTGTCAATAAATCAAGTTCTTTATCGTCAATCCCAATTTAATCATGATAGTTTGATACCATTTTTGGATACTAAAATATAAATATAAATAAATAAAT